AGCCAGCAGATGTTAAACCCTTCTGAGGCAAGGGCCAGTGCTGGGCATTGCAGAGAGGAGAAGTATGTTTGTACCTAAGACATGTTTGGACATGGCCCTTGAGCAGCCTGCAGTTTCATGGAGTCCACACTCCAAAAGGCAGCTCTGTCCTCTCCAGCTCTGATGCTCACAGAGCAAGAATGCCTAGACTGTAGCTGGCTTTTTCTTGCCTCTGATTCTTCTGATTGACTACTTTTTCCCCTTCTACAGGCAAAGCCACCTTTCAGCATGTCAGGGAGACTCGGCCTTCTCTCACAGAGTAAACCTGTACCCTAAGAGTGAGATTGAGGAAAGGCCAGAGCAGAATCAATGCAAAGCACATGGACTTCGGTGGGTCAGATGGCAGGCGGGACACCTTTTGTCATTATTAAAGGTCACACTTATTTAAAGACCTTAGCCTCAAAATCTCTTCTATTAAAATGGAAACCCAAATGAGTTTCAAGTACTGAAACTTGGAAGCCCATGGTCATTAAGAACTACATGTCAATCTCAGGAGAGCTCAGATGACCAAGAATGTCTGCTGCTATAGAAGCTTTCTGACAAGGCTTTCTGAAGAAAGAATCACTTAAGTGCTGAAAGACCTGCGTGGACCCTCACGCCCAGACTAAGGAAAGGCGCCCCCCCCCCCAAATCACTGGCTAGAAGTGGTCTTGATGCAAAAGCATGAGGTCTTTTATATTCCAGTGCACTGGGGTCCGCAGCCACACTCCACGTGGGGTAGAGGACTGGGAACCCTGGGTACAGGGTTCAGACAGCTTTTATAGGGTTACAACAAAGCCTGCACATTACAAACCAATCATCTCATAGCATCCAGTGTGGACCAATCAATTTGAACTATCCCAGCCCACGCTTAGCCCAGGAGGTCTACTTTCGCTAGGGCTTCTGGGTGGTGTGACAAGGCTCATTTCCTGGTCTCATTCACTCACAGGTGCTGTCGGTAAACCGCCCTGTCGTAAACAGTCAAGAATGACCTTTTGCCTACTCACTGCTAGAGGGCAGAGTCTAGGGAGAGTTAGGCTAAATTTTTCCATCCTTACAGTGCTCGATTGGGGGCTGGAGAGGCCTGCCTAGGGCCAGAGTTCAATCTCCACACGCACACATACCCGGAACTCCAGCTCTGAGATCTCTATCACCCTCTTCTGGGGTCACCTGCACACAGATGCACATAACTACACATAGATAGATAGATAGATAGATAGATAGATAGATAGATAGATAGATGTGCACGCAGACACATGGAGAATAACCCACACTTAAACAAAAGAGAAGAGGCGGAATCTCCTCTCATGAGGCGCGGTACTCAGCATGAAGGAGCCTGACTGCGTACCCTAAGCTGGAGGAGGCATCTTTGAGGTCTCTTCTCCTATTCACTCTGCTGGGCAGCACTCACCTAACAGCTGTGATACAGACGTGGCATTCCCCATCCATCGCATCATGCCGTTTGCCTTTCTCTTCCATTCCAGGTAACACAAATACAATAAAAGTACTTCTTCCCACATGCCCCTGAAGGTGTGTGGGCCCTGGCTTCACTCATTACATGGTAACAGGCACACTATTGGGGACCCACAGGAGACCCACATCGCTCCGTGACTACAAACAAGGGCCCCAAGGCTGTGAGGTGCGAACATTCTCATCGGGTTTTCATCGCAGAAAGACTGCTTTGCTGAAATAAAGTCCCAAGAAACACCACAGTGGTCTGATGCGAGTGGACTTGGCCTGAGACTCTGGATAAAATCTTAGTTACCACGCGACCATGGGATATTAAGAGAGGGTTACATGGACAAGGCTTCCACACAGTGCTTTAAAAGACGGTGGACAGGAAGTTCTGTTTCGACTCACAAAGTACTGCAAAGCACCCTCTAGCCTACAGACACGAGAGGCTGAAGACATAATGGATGGACCCAGAGGGAATGCCAGGAAGATCCCCGGGTAAGGGAAAGAAGGCTCCCAGAATACTGTCAAATGAGCATTAATCCCTGTCACAAGGAACAGGTGCAAATGGCTTTGGAGATAAATCTCCGCTAATCTCCAGGCCCCAGTAAATCTTTTCAGAACACAGTCCATGGTGGCTTCGATTCAGTAAGTGAGTGGATTTTAAGATGGATTTGACGGCAACAAAGTTATGAAACTATTTACTATTAAATGACAATGACTCCAAGACAGCAACTCCTAATTGTAGAAGTCCCAAGGGACTACCACTTCTTGGATTTAATGTCCTACCTACCAGGGACTTTTTATACCATGCGTGTTTCTGGCCAGGTTAAGTTTTGGCTGTGTAAATGTGGCTGCCTTCTACTTTGTGTTCAGTATTGAAAATGCAGCAAGGATGAGCAAAGGAGGAAAATGTACACAGGTTAGCTCGATAGTTTTAGGAGCAACACTGGGAAATGTCTAACTCTATTGACGCTATCCGACTAACCCAAAGATTAAAAAAAAAAAAAAAAAAAACAAACCTTCGTGAAATACAAGTAGGAAAGCAAACCTGTTTAAGTCTGTATTTAATTATGACTTTTGTTTTTACCTCACAGAATATGTAAAAATTTTATGTAAAGTCCACAGGAATCCATCAAGATATAGGGTCAGGGTCAGGATTAGCATCAAACACAAACTTATAAGACAAAACCCCATACCATAAAGACAGACCAGAGGTGGTGCTTAGTGTGTGGGAAAAGGTTCTATGCTGAGAAAGTTTGGATTTGGCATTGTTTTCTTACAACAACAACCGATATATATGTAATATACACACATGCACCAACAACAATATACACACGCAAATAAAAATCAGCTTGAGTCCACTTACCATTTTAAAAAGCCAAGTATTTGTCACAAAGCTACACCCTTTATCGATGTCAGGACAAAAATAAGAACATACTCAGAAAAAGAAAACATCCTAGAGAGCCAATGTCCCCCCCCAAAACACAGAAAGTCACGTCTGTAACCATATAGTGTGAGAAAATCAGTTTGCAGGTATGCGGGAAGAATTTGAAACCATCTGTCATCGCCAGCCTGTTCCCATCTGACAACCCTGTGCTTGGGTGAAAATCGTGCAGCCAGTGAGTTCATCCTTGAATAGTGTGGCATCTTCACCTCTGACCCAAGATCAGGGTGACAAGTCAGATCATCACTCCGTGTTTGAATGTAATCTTCTCATGAAGAGTCATTTATTGCTGTGCGTGCATGCGTGTGTGCATGCGTGCGTGCGTGTGTGTGTGCGCGCGCGTGTGCATGCAGCCCCCCCCCCACACGTTCATGTACTCCATGGCCTGAATGAATGAGGTCAGAGGACAAGCGTGGGAACTGGTTCTCTCCTTTTACAGTAGGTTGCTTGGACTGACAGCCCAGTTAGGTCCGTGTAACAAGTGCCTGACTGCTGGGCCAGCTCACATCCCCCAAATCAAACCTTATTAAGGGGCTAGGGGTGCAAATGTAACCACAGTACGGTGTGCAGGGTTGGAGTGTCCTCTTTCAACCCTGGTGTGTCCCTATCAAGGTTCTTTTCCCCATCCTTCATTCAAGGTTCCCCTCAGGTCACGGGAGACTTCCTCCAGGCAAGCGGCTGGCTATCCGTGCACACAGATCCCCTCCCACTAGACCTGTGGGTGGTTGTGAGATGCCTGCTGTGTGTGCTGGGTACTGAACCTAGATCCTTTGGAAGAGCGGCAAGGACTCTTGACCACTGGGCCGTCTCTCCCCATCCTCCTCTCTCACACCCTAACTCCTTCCTCCTCAGTGCTGTAGGTTGTGTAGGCTCTACACAGCTACAGAAAAACGTTTGCATTAGTTTTTCCTTTGAGAACCGAAAAGGTGATTTTAATTACTTGTTGTTATCAAAGGAGCCGAGCCCTCGTTTGTCGCGCTGCCTTACTCTTTCCTGGAATACTGGAAGCATTGTTTTATCCTTGACAGTATCTTCCATGTACAGCCATGGACCTTGCCAAAGGCAGATGAAACACGGCAGTTCGTGGGCACTGGCGGGCATTTCCTGCCGGGGCGCTGACTAAATTCGGGCAGCAAGGGAAGCGTGGAGGTAGAGACAAGTTTAGTCAAGGGCTGCTGCTAAAATATTAGGCTTCTTTTAGTCGATGTTTAAAGGATGGGAATACCAAACCAGGGATAGTGACACCATCTCTGAAATCATAAGGTAAATTCAAAGGCCCGTCTCATGAAGTCCTGAAGGCCGAGGAGAGGCCTGTTTCTGCCTAAGAGCAGGGGATAACAGGTTTGGGGATTTATTTCAGTAGCCCATTTTATGACTAAAACATTCTTCCTAGTCAGGGCTAAGTCCCACCTTTGCAGTCTGGGTCAGCCTCTGAGGACACACGCTCAGCTCATGCTGCCTTCTTTCTTTCCTGAATTGGCAATGAGTCGGAACTTCCCTCCAGTGCTCCCTCTGCAGCTCCAGGGGGTTCAGTTTCTACGGCAGACCGTGACTCCTAAACCAGACTTCACCCCTCTGCTCATGTTTCTCCAGCTCTGCCTCCACATCTTTCTTTCCCTGTGTTCACTGGGGTTTGAGATAACCGGGCCCAGAGTCAACTGCATGAGTTCATTTTGGGTAGAGGAATGTACCAGAAGCCCCGACACAAATGCAGACAACTATGTGGAGTAACTCAAACGTATGGAAGAGATATTTAAAAATGAAACAGCCTGGTGGGGAAAAGTGGTTTTTATAAATCGTTATTCCATTCCTAACGTTAATATCATGTTTTAAAACTTACTTATATTAGCGAGTTTACGTTTCTGGATGGACTAAGATTACACCATTTTCTGATATTTTACCGCGCGTAGTTGAGGACTCGTATTTGACTGCTTGACTAATCTAGCAACTGGCACTGTAAATAATCTCACCCCAGTGAGACGGACCAGACTTGGCCCCCGTGAGATAGATGCGCACCAGGAGAGCTGTCTGAGGAAGGTCTGCTGGGCGGGGGGCACTGATGTCCTGCACCCAAGGGCCTTACCTGACATCTGTGCAGGCTATGCAGGAGACCCTGCGGCTGTTACTGGTGATCAGGTTCAAAGCGACTGACGTATCCTTGTCAGAGGTTGGGTGCGCTCCACATTTGAAGAAAAATTCCTGGAAGAAATGAGGGGAAGTGCAATTATGCATATGGACCCTGCCTAGTTATTTATCCCTCCCCCAGACATCTTTGCAGTAAGCAATCACTTGGGGGTAAGAGAAGAAATCTGTCATTAGGTATGAGTTGGGGATAAATCACCATGGACTTTTGGAAGGAAAGAACAGCCTTGTCTGGTACAGAACTGCTCAGCAATACCCTGAGCATCCCAGAGAACCCCGGCCTTTCTGCATGATCGCAGTGCAGGCAGCCTAACGACAGGAACATGTGTACTGAGTAAAGGAACAGGGTAGCCAGAGGACTCAGGGTCACGAGTACCGTGACAGTTACTATTGATCGCCCGGCCTGACAGGGCCCATCTAGCATTACCTAGGAGACCCATCCTAAGCACGGCTGGCACCACTCCACGAGCTGAGATTCAGGCCGAATCAGAGACAGAGCAAGGCAGAGGGCCTCAACACTCTGCTCTTCGACTGTGGCTACAAGGTGACCAAGTGTCTCTGACTGCTGCAACCACAACTTCCCCACTGGGAAGTGCTTGCCCTCAAACTGTGCGATACGCCCCTTCCTGTCCTAACACACAGCTCACCCTGAGACCAGACTGCCCAGCCCCCATACCTGGCAGCTGCACACTCAAATAAGCAGTAAGCTGGGTCCCGGGCTGCTTTGCTGCCTTTCCCAGATGAGTCCCCCAACAAACAATCATTTCTGGATATATTCTCCTTTCTCTGCCAGTTTTCCTTCCACTCAGCTTCCCTCCTCATCCCCGCGTTTCCTCTCGGGAATCGGGCTGGTGGTCAGTGGTCACCCTGCTCCTCCTCTCTGGTCTACTATGGGACCTCAGACTTTCCGTGGTGACAAATCATCTAAACGAAGTATTACTGGGTGACAGCAGAAGCCCTGCCCTGTGTGCCTGTATAGATGGCATCTTCTCTCTTAGCACTAGACCTGAAGTCAACCAACTATTATGGGATGCTCCAGATAGGAAATGTGAAGCATTTCTACTCTGTGGGCCAGGTATGCTCTGGAACCTGGATTCGAGTCCAGTGTAGGTGTCCAGATCCTCACTGCTTCATCTTAGGAACCATAAGCTGATGGCTTTCTTTTTCTCATCATTGGATACTGCCTTAGTCAGTGTTACAACATGGCACACTTATGAAAGGAAGCATTTGATAGAGAGTATGATTTCAGAGGTTTCGTCCATTATCATCACCGCAGGCAGACAGACAAGGTGCTGGAGAAGTTAAGAGACCTACAGCCTGATGCACCACGGGTAGCAGGGAGAGAGAGAGGAGAGAGAGAGAGAGAGACTGGGCCTGGCTTGAGCTTTTGAAACTCCAAAGCCACACCCTAAGTGACACATGTCTTCCAACAAGGCCCCAACCCCATAATACCTATCAGGTAATGCCTACCTAATGACCGCCTGTCTCAATGTAAGTGACTAAGGGGGCCGCTCCTAGTCAAACCACCACAGAAACTATCCTTTTCCCTCAACCTCTTGAAATGCTACAAATCCTTCAAGGTCAACAGGAGGACATATAGAAAGAGATTAAAATAACAACTGACCTCTTATCCAAAAGGGTTGAAGGACATGGCTGACCCTTTGAAACAGACTGGGCTGCCTTCTGCAGGCATAAGGAAAAAAAAAAAAAAGCTTCCTTATCTCTAACATAAAGCAGTTACCTCAAAAGAGCTGAGTTGGCAGGAACATTGAGGATGTTTTTCATATATAGATATATAGAAAGTATTTATATTTTTTTCTTAGCTTGCAAAAAGCTACTGGTAGACACTTAGATTAACAAACCACAAAACTGTTCTAACACTATTTATGAAACTCAGGTGCATAAAAGCCAAAAACCTTATTATTGGGGTTAGACAATAGTCTACAGTTAAAGATTTAGAAAATTCTGTTAATTCAAATGGTATTAGAAAGCCAACATACAAAAATTCCAACTCTGTACATCATGTATAATTCCAGCACGTTCCTCTACCAATGTTTGCTAGTGGTGGTTTTCCTACAGTGTAACTGGCAAGAACTGGGAAGGATCCAAGGTTTTGTCTGGCTTGCAAGCTGTCTACTTCATCTGCCACTCCATCACGGATGCCGGCAGAAGACAATGGACTCATCACGAGAAAGGGCACTGTGCCCTCGCACATGCAGGGAGAAGTGTGGGGACTTGGCCGCGTGACGTGACACACTGTAGGAGTGACAGGCAGCTGATGACCCTGAGCTTACGGGACTCGGGTCTTTGTGAGGGGCTGGGAGCAGGGCCCTCCCTTGCTCCTGAAGGGAGACACTGTCTTTATTACACAGGATAATTAGCAAATCTGCCTTTTGTTCTAGAGGGAGACCTTAGCCCCCTCTTCCAAGGTCATTATGCTCCCCCACCCCACCCCACAAGGATGGTCTGAGGCAAAGGGTGGTTAACGGCTCCCTCTTGAGATGAGCAGAAGAGCCAGGCCAGGGACTGTCTCCCGGCGGTGCACATGTCCCATCTCACTGGCTAATTAGCAGCGTGATCCAGTTGTTTCCCTCTTCTCTGCAATCGGTAGGCTAACGCTTTCCGGTCTACACTCAGAATCAAACACACAAACAACAACAGTGAGGTAAAATACCATCCAAGTCAGAAGAGGCTTTTCAAAAGAGCACCATGGGCATCTGAGGACTCCCTGACAGAAGGGGACAGCACAGCAGCCTTCTTATGGGGAAAAACTGTGGAAAAAAAAATCTTCCCACATGTCACAAGCAACCTCATAAATAAATGAGGGGTGATGGTAATAAACTAAATTAAGTCTTTGACCCAATGCCTCTTCCACTGAGACCACGTACATACTTCTGGGAAGTCTTTATTAACCAAAACAAATCTATGACAATTATTGGTTAGTTTTATCTAGTTTATCAAATGATTGCCAAACTATTAAAAAAAATAAATAAAGGTAAGCCTGAGAAAAATAAGACCTTGAAAACAGTACTTGGATTTATACTACCACTCTGCTTAAATGCATCGCCACGGTCCTCTGCCTAGGTGCCATAAAACCAACAACTCCAAGCCTCACAAGCTGTCTTCCTTAGGCCTCACTTACATGCTTACACATTGACCCTTCTCAGAAGGAAGCTGCGGCCTTCTGTTCCTATTGTGGTGATATATTGTTTATGATTTATTAAAGTCACTGGAGAGCAAAATAACAAAGCAGCCACACTAGTTAGCCAGAGAAGCCAGGCAGCAGTGGCACACGCCTTCAATCCCAAGATCCTGAGAGGCATTTAAGACAGGAGCAGGGTCTCAGGGCTGGCATTCATTCTCCAGCCACAGTGAGGACAGGCGGCAGTCTGTGGGTCAGCCCTTTCAGCCTCAGGTAGAGAGATAAGAGCTAGTGCCTTGGCTTGCTTTGCTTTTCTGATCTTCAGCTTAAAGCCCAAACCCAGTATCAGTCTCTGGGTCTCTTATTTTTCATGTTGCACTGGTCCTCTCTCCCCAGGTTACAGCCATAACGCTTAGGACCCTCTCATGGGGAAAAGTCTAGGCCTCTGCAGCTCAGGCGCCCACCGGGTCCCTGGTGGGCGCCTCCTCTACTCAGTCCCAAACTACACTATCATTTCTCCCGAGCACTGCCCTTTACAAACCAAAGGATACTGCAGCCACCAGAATGCAAAGGAACGTGCCAACCAGCTGAAGTAGAGGACTAGGAGTCCAGCTGTGTCAAAACTTACAGGATCTGCAGCTCATCCATCAACCCACGGGCTATTTGATGGGTCCTCACTGTAAAACAAATGGCTCCAAAGCCTTCCTTTCCCAGCCCCTTCGACCCTGAGGAAAGTATGGTCAGGGCCTGTCCCCTCACTCTTCTGTGAGTCTTCTAATAGGTTAAAATGTTATATTGTTTGCCAATCGTGTTTTCACATAAAATGCCATCTACGCCATCTATCTTTACAAAAGCTGACTTCCATGTCAGCATTCGACTCCGTCTTAATGAAATCCACAAAAGGAAAACCCACTTTTTCTAGCGATAAAAATAGCAGGGACACCCATTTTTCACAAAGAAGGCTGAAACAACTGTGTGGTTTATGGCTAACCTGTACTGGGTGGCCATTTGCATGGCTCACACGGCTGCTAAGGAAACAGTGTCCATGGCTGGCGGGCAGCTCAACTGAGGAGACGCATTGCCAAGGGGTAGTGCTAATGGTGTGTGAGTATGAGTGTGTGTGCATGTGTGCGTGTGCATGTGTGTGAGGCACAGAAACATTGAGGAGAAGAAGGGACTGTGGGGGGCGGATATGCCTGCAGAGGTGACTGAGGGACCATTCAGGAGAAAGTTGGTCTATGAGGTGGGAGCACCTCAGCGTTTGTTCCTTGTCGATGATGACTTTCTGATCGGCTCCTACTAGAGGAAAAAAAAGTGCGTGTATATGTTGCCTTGTAACACATGTTATTGGCATGTGAGTGTAGGCGGCACAAAGGGCCTTGTGCTCACAGATCACTAGAGAAGCCAGGAATGCTAAACACTCAGGGACCGATTCTCAACAGAGGAAATAAAACACCTATTTTCTTGCCCAGAAGGCTGGGAGTGGATTTTGTTAATGGCCTGGTTATCTTTTCGCTAGCTGTGGAGGCAGGCCTCACCCAAATTCCCAAGAATCATTATCCGAGACTCTGCCCTCTCTAGATTGTCACCGGCCCTTAGGGGAGATGTCAACCTGTACTTCAGGGCCTGCTGACCCCTAAGCTATCTCAGAGACCACACAACACACTATTTTGGGCCTTTTAGCTATAGGCCCACCCTCATAGTCACATGTCCTGTGTAAAGGAGTGTCTACGCAGCCTTATTGTGCACCTGGAATTGGACCCATTGTTGCCTGGAAACCTTAGCAAATTGTGCTCCGTTTTACAAATGCTGACAGTGAACAGCCTGGCCTTAGGGTCCCCGCAGCCTGATCCAGGCTGGTGGAGTCAATCTGCACTGGCTCTCATTCTCACCTCTTGGAGGTGTGTTTCCCTGT